AATATTTTGCATATATACAATAAAGACATGTCATGTTAACCTGACTGTAAGTTTAAAAAAAAAACTATCTCTTATTGAGTTTTTTAAGTAACAAAAAGATTTTTATAAAAAAAAGTTAACTATTTGTTTTAATTCAAGTTTAACAAGTTTTTAAAAAATTATTTTTATCTTAATCAGAAAAATTCTCCTATAATATACTATTAACTCTAAAAATGCAATAAACAAATTCATATATTGGCAGAAGAATAAATTTCTTAAATATTCATGAAGAGGCTTATATAAGAATAAATAAGTTTTTCAAATAATCTAAAACAAAAAAATATATTTCAATTAAGTAATTTCCTTTTGAGAAAAATCTATCAACTTAAATAAGAATCTTTTAAAAATTTTTAATTTTTTTTTCTTCTCTTTTTCTTCAATGCATTAATGTTTTGTTTAGTTTGAACTAGCTTAGTGGACTTTTCATATTTTTTAAATAGTGTAGTCCTTCAACTAATAATGCATAACAATGAGTCGTCATGTGAATAGTATATGTAATATTGTGGATGTTTATTCAATGTCTTAATAAAGACAAAAAAAAATCTTGAATATTTTGTAATATCAAAAATTTAACCAAATTTTGCAACAAATCATACACGATCAATTTGAAAAATCTATTATATCTATATCTATATATTTTTTTTTTATGATACACAGAAGTTAGACATGTGATGTGTAAAGCCACATCTTTCATTTCACATTTCTCGCATTTTTACATTGCATCAGTTGATTATGATTTTTGCACAATTTACACCATTGACTTGACGGGTTCAAAGCCCTAAATTTTTGCGGTATCTCGATGAATTGACCCATCATGCCCGTGTTTAAATGCCACTGTAAAAAATAGGAAAATTAAATCGAAGACTTGCAGCCTGAAGTAAAAAGAAATAGGAAGCTGATCACAATTACCACGATGGGGCATCCAAATGCCCATACACCAGGGTTGTTGATTTTAAATCTTATCAAAGTCCACCTATTATAATTAAATGTGATCAACTGTGCAATTAATTTTACAGAAAGCATCGTCACTAGAATACCTATACAATGACATACCCACGCGCAGGAACACCAACAGTGTCTCTCTTAAGTGGAATCGTCTCGTTCAGACTTAATTGTGTGCCGTCTTTTCCTCTTCCAAGCACCCAAAATTTGTGGCCGTGCTTTGAGAGCGTCATAATTGGTTTGATATACAGTACGTATAATGAAATAGTGTTGGGAATACCTTTATAATAACAATGATGATACCCTTACCAAGTGGAATACCAATTCATTAGTATTGTTGTCTAATAATTTGAGGTAAATGGTCAGAAAGAATATATAATGAATAATAACGAAGATAAATAAACAAATGAAACTCAACTGATTAAAACCATATCCATGACACCAAAGGAATTTGTCACATATGCATTCCATTCGGGCTCGAATTTTCTTCTTTCACCTTTCAACACCTCATAAATGGTTGACGTGGTCTTATTCTGAGTGTAATAATAAGCGCCTCGAGTTTTCGATGATATTGTAGCATAAGTGGATCGGATGACGTCTGAACTTCCATAAGTTGTCGCACTAGAGTTGTAGGTGAATGATTGATTCGAGGAATTGGGAGGAGAAAATCTTTTGTTTATATGGTGATGTATGTGGATGACGATGGAATTGTGTTCTATACTTGATACAGAGGGTTGAGACGTTTGCGGTACCATCGTTTCTGATGCTTTCGTGAAACCTTCCTTCACAACCATCAGCATTTTGTAAAATGCCGTATTCTTCGGTATTCTTTCATTGATATACGATTTTAAATCGAAGGGATCCATATCCAGCAATTCGATGGTTCCATTATTGTATTGTTCTTCAGCAATATTCGTTCTTCTAGCTTCTTCGCTGTCACCGTATTCGTTGTAATCACACCAGCCCTCGAGAATATCGTCGCTTTTATTATCAATAGAATTGCGCGCCTTACCCTTCGTGCTCATTGAACTCCAGCTATTGGTCTTAGGGTTAGAAGCATGAGTATTTTCCTTGACATATTCTCTGTCGTATTTCTGTTTATATATTAACACAGCAAAAACCTCGTCGTCAAGCATTTGCACCTCCATTTTCTTCCTCGCGTCCCATTCTTGGAAGGAATTCAAATCACCATAGCTATTCTTATCAATCTCTGCTCTCATCCAAAAACTTGAAACGTTCTCATGTTGAACCAGTCGAGTGGGTATTATCGAATATCGTTGGGCGACATGAATCGGGATTCGGTGGTATGGTTTGGAGAGATTTGTTAGGGTGCCCTCGACTTCAATGACTTGTAGCATGTGGCCGTCGATTGAGAAATAAAATTTCGTCATTGCACTGAAGTTTACAAAGAAGGTCATGAAGAGTATATCAGAATATTACAACAATTTGAGGGGATGATTCATCCAACCTTGAGTTGATAATTCTCAAACGATATTTTTTCCCTGTCTTAAAATAAAATTTTTCAATTGACCCTTCGTTACAATTAGAAATACCCTTGCCGTTTATTAATGCACTACGGGGGATTGGCTTAAAATATTGAAGAAGCGATAAGGTAATCAGCAACTTGAATTCTTTTCACGTTTAATTTTCCTCAAATGCAAACCTCATCGTCACTCTCAAACACATATTTTCTCAACAATTCTCCACCTTGATCGTGATACCAATCCGACAGAATCACTATTTTTTCGTCATCATATCCATATAATTCTTCCTCCTTGAGGTCCGTTACTATTAGCGCACCATAAAGTCCGTCGATTCTTTGAGTTCCGTATGCCGAGTAACTTTGATTGGAAAGGGAAAAAAAATTTTTTTCTCAATGCAGCAAAATTAACTCATCGGATGAAATGCTCCCAACCAGAGTGCAAACATCTCTCACGAACTTATGAAGAAAGAAAGAAAGTACTTACTACCAATAAGTACCACTCTCGAAGACCGCAAACTCATAAACAAACCAGCTTCCATTCTCGATAGGACATTGAGTGACATACGGTACACCGTCCATAAACGGTGTATTCCATTGATCAATACCATGCGCATGAATACTTGTTGGGACTCCCAACAAATTTGTCACATTGATATTTACGGTATCGCCCTTATTTACAGTTATTGAAGGACCAGGAAGGTTATGGTTAATTGTCAAGACATTGCGAAGGTTTCCATCCGGAGAAAGGGTCTCGTTTCGTAAAATCAACGAAAAATATTTGGTGGTTGCGAGTGAAGGATTTATTGAGGGTATTTTTGTCACGAGTGAAGGAGATACAGATATCACTGGACTTGGTTGTCGAATGGGGGTGGCAATCTCATTATTATCCTGATCCTTCGAAAGTATTGAGGAAGGAACGATACCATCATACAGGTAATCGCGAAATGGCCTGGGCCACGGAACTTCTAAGATTGAATTTGCAGAATAATCTATCAATACTATGAGTAAAAAAATGCTGGTTATTACCAATAGAACTAGACACCCTAGGAATAAGACATTATATTTTCGCGTTTTTGAAAGGATTTTCATTCTGCCAAAAATTTTCGAAGTGTCGTTCTTCTTATTTTTTTTTTTAATATCAATTAAATTTTTGAATTAGAACAGGGATCTTAATAAGGTGCAAAAAGGAAGACCTCGTTATGAACAGTACGAGCAGTATATACAATGATAGAAAGACGAATTCGACAATCTATTTAGCTTAATTGGTTATAATTTTGCAATTCAGTTGAATTTAAATTCTGAGGCTTTCTTCTTCATGCCTCGATCAAAACTTGAAATACCGTAATAGTATAAATACACACTCCGTATGGCAGTGCAAGAATATCACACTGCCACGTCAATACAGTATATCGAATGTCATAAAATGCTGTCTTTATATAAACTCGAATTTGTTTAGAGAGCTCTCTTTTTTCTTTAACTACCCTAGAATAGTTTCTCGTGTCATTTTTCTAAAGCTTAGAGTATGTAATCGGCGACTGAAACCCATAATGACCCACAATGCGAAGGTCTGTGCGCACAATTCATTCTCCGACTACTCATTGTGGCAAATTTGTTGGTTGTTTCCATTTTCTGATCTATGAGCAAGTCGTTTATTAAAAGCACATACTTTTATTAATTAAAACAATTGAATAAACTGACAGGGGATATCCTATGACAGGGGTATTTCATATGAGACTTAGTAATATAGATTGGATTGACGAATAATACGTATTGAAAGTTCATTAAATTAACTCTAAACGCGCGTAAATTAGATATGAAGTCATAATTTGATAAGACCGTAAAGATAAAATCCGCACATATAAAAATACTATTTCCTTTTGGTTGTAAGTTCTATTTTACTTAGTTTTATACGACAGTATTGTATATAAAAGAACACAACTATGGCCATTGCACAAGAACATTCTGTACAAATCGATATTTTAATTATTATAATCGTCTTTGCTTATCCTAATACAACCATTTCCTATACCAAATAATAGGCAACCAAATGGATCGAAAGTCGTGAAGGTCAAATTCCTGAAGGTGCATGGTATGTCGGCGAAAACGCCATTGGCCGCGGATGGTACGAAGAGGGCAGGCACGTGGGTTACGTTGTACCCAGTAAGGGATTGATGATTAGTTATGGCGGTAACGAAGTCACCTTGAGACAATATGAAGTGCTTACGGGCGATCAGGCCCAGTATCGTTGGATTGGATGGTAATTAAATCATTCGTAATTAACGGTGACGTTTTATATGTTTCTTTTTATATTATCCTTCTTATAGATAGGTGCTATACTTACTGTGATCATTAACTTAATTAAGT